CCCCAAGACAGCTAGTTTTACGACTGGAGGTCTGTGTATGAGGATTTCGATGAATTCTCTATTTTTGGATATGCTTAGGGAGGCTTAGGCCAAGGGAGTTAAGAAGGAAAATTGGTAGAAGAAGAGACTCAAGGGTGAGATTGGCAGGTTTGATACCGACATTCGAAGGTTATTGACCAGGTATAGACATATTTGGGTGCCAAATTTCGGTGGGGTCACATAGACTATGCTAGAGGAGGCATATAAGTCCAGGTTTTCGATACACCCCGGAGCCACCAAGATGTATCGGGATTTGAGGCTCAGTTATTGGTGGTCGTGCATGAAAATGGAGATAACTTGGTATGTCGAGAGGTGCTTGACCTTTCGGATGGTCAAGGCCAAGCACCAGAGGCCGCACGGCAAGTTGCAGCCATTGGAGGTTCCCATGTGGAAATGGGTACATATTACTAAGGATTTTCATCACCAAGCTACTTCAGATGGCTAAGGGGCACGATGCAATTTGGGTTGAGGTTGTATAACTTTGTGAGGTAGCCAACAAACTCGAGAGCAATCCAGACATAAGTTGTGGGCCCCGAGGACAAGACAGACTTATGTTTTAGGCTTAGGAGCAAGTCATATATGAGTTGTGGGCCTAATAAGCAAGCCAGACTCATATTGTGGAATTATGGGTAATCCAGTATTTTAGTTGTGGACCTAGTATATGTTGTTAAATGTTTTGTGTGTTGGTACTTTAGGGGGAACTCACTAAGATTTGGCTTATAATTTTAGTTTACTATTTCAGGTACTTCAGAGGATCGAGGGAAAGCGAAGGCGTGATCGTGCACATCTTCCTGTTTTATGTCACTGGACTACGGAAAACTCTAATTTTGAATAATACTTTTGAAACAATGACCCTTTTTGAAAAAAAAAATGATTGGTTGATGGTTGAATTGGAATTTTTAACTTTTTATAAATTTAGGAGTGTTACAATGAACGTTAAGATTTTGAAAGGAACAATTTACAAGGATTTTCAGTCAAAATGAAGCCAAAATTTGTGTCAAAAAATGACTGGATTGAATAATGAATCCAAACAAAATCAAAATTAAGGACCAATATCGAATGGCGTATTAACTCCATGGTTTGAATAAATCAAAATCAAATGAAATGATAATCGAGTTCTAGGGAAAAAAAAAGAACAAATAGATGTATTACTGAGAATCGATTTTTAGAGGAAAAACGAAGAACAGTCGATCTATTTATGAGAATATTTTCAGGAAGAAAAAAATACCTATAACCAGAGGTCGACATTGTTGGCGGTGTTATCGGAGGCGTCGAAGCTTCCAGCGGTGGCGTAAATGGGGAAGGGAGCGGGAGACTACAGATCGAAGAGGTAGGAGTAAGAGCAGGAAGGAGGGAGGAAAAAAGAATTAAGAGCCTTTTCTTCATATCCTACCAAACACCCTATATCTTAAAAATTAAAATGTTACTTCTTAATTTTACAATTAAAAGGCTATGAAACAACCCCTAAGTTTGCTAATATTGTGTGGAATAATTTGATATGAATTTAAAGGTTTTGTTTAGCTGATGTGTTATAATATATTTGTGGCTTCTCAGTTCTAGTGAAATCATGAGACGAAAACGCAAACTTATATAGTTTGAAGGACATAATACGTTTTGTATTGTGTATATATATAGACCCCTTAAAATGCATATCAGTTGACGATTAATCTTCTGAGTCATTTTTGTTAAAATAAAGTGAGTCGAGTTTCCAAGTTTGTTTGCTTTTAGTTTTGTTTTGAGTCTCTCTCTCTCTCTCTCTCTCTCTCTCTCTCTCTCTCTCTCTCTCTCTCTATATATATATATATATATATATATATATATATATATATATATATATATATAAAGCAAGTAACATATCAGGATTGGAGTCAATTTATGGCATTTGAAACTCGGTTAGTATTCTCCGTGGGATATGTATATCTATCCACCTAATTATAAAAGCTTGGATCGCATGGGACGAAAGTTGTTACATGGGTTTCATCGAAATTTGTGGACTCCATTAGTGGCTTAAGAGATTCTGAGTACTCCAATGAATTTCGTAGAAAGTCATAAACTATATTATTAATAGAAACAAAATTAGAATTGTTTGCTTGTTTATTTGTGGAAGTTGAAGTTTTGAGAAAATAAAACAAATGGAAAAAGTTGTGGAAAAAAATAAGAAAAAGAGAAAATGTTCCAAAAAAAAAGAGAATTAGTATATAGTTAAATATATATATATATATATATATATATATATATATATTTTATTTTATTTTTAAGTCGTGGCACTTGGCACTTAACAATAACTACGGAAGTTGTAATAAAAGGGCATAGATTAAAGGGATGCAAAAATGAATGTTGTTCAAAATAAGTGGGGAACATTTATGAAGATTGTTAGTATTTAGAATTTGGGAAGTATTTAGGTATTAGACACAAATATATACAATAAGGTGAAACATAATTTGCGAATTCAAATTGTGTTATTCTATGTCATGATGATGAGCAAAAGTTTGGATATAGCATAATAACAATCTAGTTTGTTTGAGGACAAACAAAAGATAAGTGTGGGATATTTTGATATGATCTTATTTAACTATATATTTTAGGTCATTTTCTTAATAAATTAATCTAAAATGTTATATTTTAAAATATATGATACTTAATATGCTTTGATTAGTTGTTCAAAAAGATGCAAAAATAGTGTTGTTGGACAGATAGACCTCTCTTCAGTATTTTGATCATATCTAATGATTCGTAACTCCGATTAATAAGATTCAAAATGTTCTGAAAATTAGACAAAATTTCGGACAATTTTTGTGTTCATGCCAAAATACGAATTCCAGTTCCCACATTGTGGCAAAGGAATTACCACGATATGGTGGATCAAAAATCGCAAAAACAATCCCCATGTAGGTCTACGAGTTCGTGCACAACAAGGAAACTTGGCACCACGATGTGGTGAGACATTTACCACTCTGTAGCGATGTAAAATCTATAAATTACAGGGTTTTGCAGTCCTAATTCAAATGCCAACATACACCAACTTGGGGAAAGGAATTACCCTGATGTGGTGCATCAAAATTCATGAAAACAGTCCCCATGTAGGTCTATGAGTTCGTACGCAACAAGTTGACACCACAACGTGGTGAGACATTTACCACTTCGTGGCAATGTAAAATCTATAAATTATGGGTTTTGCAGCCCTAATTCAAATGCCAAAATCCACCAACTTGGGGAGCAAGTTATTAGTCGATTTCATACATATTTGAGAGCAGGAGAGCACCATTGAAAAGTGTACTTGAAGATCACGACGGGAATTCATCCATTTACTTGTTTCGGTTTGTTTTATATCATGTATTGCAATCTCAAATTCTTTTGATTCAATTTTCTAGTCATGATGCAATGCTAAAAACCTTCTACTTTCACTAGATGTAGATGAACCCTAGTTGATATCTTTTAAATTCGTTAGTTAGGTTTTGTGAGTTGCATTTATACTTGTGATCGATTGATTGTTTATCTTTGATGTTAAAGTTATGATTTGTATTACCTAAATGTGAGTTATGTGTAGCTTAGATGATCAATCTAGTTACATTAACTTGATTCTTAACTGTTTATGATCATTAAATTTTTAGGACGGGAGATTTATCCATTCCTAGGGTTAGGTAATATTAATCGGTAATTTTGATAGTGTTAGAGAAATATAGTTATCCATGTTATGTTTGATTTATTATCATGGACATTGATAAGAATCGTTAGATCATATCCTTCATAGTTAAATTTATTTATATGGTTTTGTGTTCACTAATTGCATGATCATTGGGATTAGATGTTCATTAATTATTAGTACTAGAAATTCCGACCAAGATAACTAGTTATAAAATTCGGTAACCAACTCATTAATCCATTGCATGCTAACTAGTCAAACATTGAAAACTATGAGGATCGATTTTCTAGTGGAAGTACTTCAAATATATTACTTTAAAAACACATTCTTTGCTTTTTTTGCTTGCTTAGTTGTTTGAAATTGATAATTTTAGTTTCTGAACTTGTAACATCAGAAGAAAAAAAAATTAGTTACAGTATTTTCTTTAGTTTAACTATTTGTCTATTTATTTGATTCAAAATCATATATGTTTCCCTTGAGTTTGATACTCTTTCTTACCTTATATTGTATTACGTCGCGACTAGATACACTGTCTATTTGTGTTTTAAAACTAGTTAAGGTTCGATATGACATTGATATGTCAAGTTGGTTATGAGGGGCAGAAAAAATAAATACATTCCACCCTTAAACCACTCACTACTAGAGCTTTTTGAGGCCAAGATTTTATTCCAAGTGACCTAACACGGTTTTTTGGAGGCGGATCCTCCGCCCCAGAGAAATTGGTCTCGGTTCTTTCATAAAGAGCATATGGTTTATTTATTTATCTATTATGTGTTTTGTACAGAGAAAAGTAATAGAAAAGAGGACTTCCTAACACCAATTTGATAAGAGTGAGTCTTCCGCCAAAGAAAAGAGGTTTAACTTTCCAGGGAAACCGTCTAGCTTTGAATTTTTTGATCATCCTGGAAAGATTCATGTTTGCACCAACCGGAACTCCCAAATAGGTGAAGAGGAAGGAGGCGACTTGGCAATGAAGAATGTGAGCCATTGTGTTGATTTGGCTAGAAGGTACACCAAGACCATAGATTTTGCTTTTAAAGATGTTTATCTTAAGATCGCATGAGAGGAAAAAACAACGCATGATTCTGGCAAGATTTACAGGATTTGCGTGAGACCATTCACCCATAAAGATGTATCTTTGGCGTAGAAAAGATGGTTTGATCCTGTGGAATACCCCAAAGTTTGTTGCAGCCATTGCTGCATTAAGGCTCTCCATTGTGAATTTGTGATGATGAAAGAGGATAGAGGATCCCCTTAATGAACCCTACATTGAAGAGAGAATTTTTAACAAGGAAATCCATTAGAGCAGATTCAGGCAACCTTGAATCCATTTGACATCTCAAACAGAATGATGCTGGAGACGTGTTGTATTAAGTGTGAAAATACACTAACAAATGAAAAGGGTTAAATAGTGCAAAATATTCAAAATATTACATGAAAAAAGAAACAACTTTCTGTGTCCTATGTGCACATTTAACCTAAAGAATCCCTTCTGAATAGATGAAGAAATTTAATAGCTATGGCAGCCTGAATCGTACAGTTACATACACAAGAAATTTGAAGAATCATCCATTCATTCATTCGTTCATTCATCAAACACATTGAAAGGAAGAAAAGAGAAGAAGATTAAACCCTAAATCTCAGTATCTCAGCTACACAAATTAGGAATACAAACCCCGGCGTCCAGATTCTGTTGTTCTTTCCATATCTTCCCTGTAACCCTAAGTTTGAGTTCTTTCCTGTCACCACCGGAGAAGAAAAGCGCCATGTTTCTCTGTATAATCAACCCATCATGACTATCTCTTACCTTCCTATGGCTATCTCTGATACTCCTTGGTGTTCCTTCCCAAATCAGCTTCCTCCCGTTGGCTCCGACCTCTAAACTGTAGCTGTAATTCCTTGCATCTGCTTCATCCCCCATGAATCGAAGAAACGCCATGTAAACAGGTGCCATCCCTAGCTGAAACGCTTCAAAGTGAAGGCAGAAGTACTGCCCAAAACAATGGAACACCTGCCAAACATTACACTACCCCGATTAACGAGAAAACCCTAAAATCGGAAATCAGAAATCAGGGGAAAAGTGAAGTGAACCCACTGTTAGCATCCAGGTAGCGTTTTCAACTTCACGGGGGTTGGATTTCACATAACGGTGGTTAAAAGTACAGCCTGTGTGCATGTCGACTTTGTGGTCGTCTCTGAGATGGGTAACCAGAAAAGGAATGTCTCCGGTGACTGAACATTCAGATCCGGCGTATGGGCAGTTGTAGGGTCTGAAGTTGCATAAAGCTTCGTGCTTTAGTTTGCTGTAATATGGGAAGATTTCTGGGCATCCCAAAGAAAAATATCTGCATGGAAGTTCCAGTGATTCAGCGACTTTTTCCAAAGCTAAGCATCTGATATCGCCCAGTTCTTGTCTGCATGTAGGACATCTGTTGTGTACCCTTGTTTTACAGGTCGAGCATAATGTGTGTCCATTGTGACACTGTATAAATGTAAACAACCAACTTCAACAACTCTTTGTAATAATTCAAAATTGTTCTTGTTCCTCTAAAATCAACAAATCAATCCACTAATCATAATTTTATTAGAATCCCAAATCCGTATTACTACGTGTACAATTTCAAATCTGAATCGCAGAATTTCAATCCATTTTCTTAAGTGGAATCAGACAAACTGTAATCCAATCCAATATGGTATCAAAGTTGAAGAAAAAAAAAATTGCCCTATTTATTCTCAATCAATCAATCAATCAATCAAATCAAACACGATACACTAAATCAACAAGAAACAGTGATTAGACGGGATGAAAAAAAAAAAAAAAAAAAAGGGAATCGATTACAAAACCTGGTGAATTGGAGGGTACATAGAATTAGTACAAACAGGGCACTCCAACAATTCATGAACGCTTGTAGCGGGAGTCAATCCAGAGGGTAGTATTCCGATGTTATTATTATTATTGTGAGGTTTTGAAGAGAACTGGTGGGTGTGGATCTCTTCGTCTTCCATTCCATCCGAAGAAGACACGCACTCTATATTATCCAAATCCATAGATAGCCCTTGTTCTTGATTGACAAATCCAAATTGAACACCCAATCTTTTGAATTCAATAATCCAAATAAGGATTCAAATTCTGTCTTCTGATCTCCATAACTGTCACAACTTCTGATTTGAAGAAAATGCGAAAAAGGGCGAAGAGGGCTACAACAGAAAAGCGACGAACAGATCGATTTATGGAATGAACCAAACCAAACACCTTTTTCTCTGTCTCTGTAAGAAAGAGGTTTTTTTCTTCTCTCTGTCAACCCAACCCCAACCACAACCCCAACCCTCCTGTATTTCTCTCTCTTTCTCTTTGTATCTGTATGAGTATTATTATTACATTATATTATACCCATAGGACGAGAGGTGTAAGCATCGCCGTTGAATTTTTTTGAACTCATTCAGATTCAATGAACCGACGGCTTATATAATTTATCTGGTCTAATTAGAGTTTTGTTTTTTTTTTTATTTGATGATATAAAAAGTTCCATACATTGATTTATGTTTTTATATATATTTAAGGTTTTTTTTTCTTTAATTATTTATAATAAATAGTTAGTTACTTTTTAAGATTATATATTCCGTTATAGTATTTGTTTATGTTTTATGTTTTTATGAAAAAGGATGTTACTTTTATTACGTATAAACCAAGATTAATATTAAAATAAGACAAAAGCTACTCTAGAACCATTTCTTTATCAAATAAACTACGTCAAGATTTTATATAAAAGGGGGTTGCTTCAAGTTTTGTTTTACTCGATATTTATTATCATAAAAGATTAAAACTATAAAAAAAAAAAAATCTAATTTTAGAAAATAACACGGCAGTGTATATATATCCTGGTTCAGATAGAAAATAAAATTGAACTGTTATTGAAAATAAATTTTAGTCAAAGTAATAACATATATGTCGCTATTTGACTTAGCTATTATAATATTCCTTGTTTACACATCTAATATTATGATACTCCTTGTGTAACTTTAAACAAATCAAGATTATTGCAAGAAATATTCATCAAAGTCATAAACATTATAAGAATGTTCGTGATATTATAAAGAAGATATTATTTTGCTTCAAATATCACAAGACAAAATTAAACAGAGTATTCAACTATATATGCTTAAATACATCCTTGTTGATGACATAAATAAATGAAAATGATGGTTCATTTGGACATTTAAAACTATTTTCAAATAGAATAAGAAAGTTGTATCTACCCGGCATATTTAATAAATTATTAAGATTAATCAAGAAGCAAAAAAGATAATAAAGCATATGGTTTGCCTAAGTTTATAAAGCAAAAAGAGAATGATGAGTGAATTGTGGGTAGTGTTAGGTTGGCACTTGGCACCATCAACAAATCCTTGGTGTATAAGCATCAAAAATCTTGGGTATGTGTCTCATAGCTAAATAACCTCCATCTCCATCCTTCTTTCACCCATGATCTCATATTTTGGAGCCAAAGACTCTAACTAACCGACACTTTTTTGCTCCTACTAACAATCCAAAAAAGTGAATATTCTGCTACACTATTAAAAAAATGTATCTTTCACCAGGTGAGAAACGCAAAGAAAAAAAAAATTATTTATGAACCACAATAGGACCCAAAATAACCACACGCGTAATAGCTTTTAACACTTCCGGTCCCTTTATGTAGCTCCTTGATCCACTTAAACACATCACCTAACATTCCCACCAAAGGGACTTCAAAATCTAACCAAGCAAAGACCTTCTCCCAAACTAAACCCGAAATGCTACACTTCCGCACACTCATAGAGCTAAGATCAAAGTAAAGGGGAGTAAGGGGTATCCGCAAAAAATTTCTTAAAAAAATTACACTACTGAAAAAAAATAAAAAAAAATACACTACTTAAATTTTTTTGAGGAGCATCACAGACTACTCCGGGAACCACCTAGCTCTGCCTATGCTTCCATAACACATGATCAATGATCTCTGGGTATTCCAAAGAAACCGGACATAAAATATTACCAACTTCAACACCTATGTTGTTATCCCCGATTAGGTTAAATAGAAATATAAATAGTAATATACTTCTATTCTTTATTACATCGTATTCTATTCTATAAAAAATAACTATATGTTTGGGTTACTACAAACAATTATCCTAAGCACATATGTGAAAGACCCTAACTTTCGTATTTATAAAAGACCCAAACTTTCATACTTAACAATATAGTTACCCCAAAACATGTTACTTGCATATTCATAAAAACAATATTTTACATTGATAAAGAGGTTACAAACTATTGGATACAAAGCGACTATTTTAAAGGTTATATATTATATTACTTCCCAGTATTATATAGTTTTATACATATGGAATGCAAAATACAATAGTTTCAAACTATTCATAAGCTTTTATCGATACAATAGTTTCATACTATTCAAAAATCTTCTACCAATATATAACTATATTGGATGCTTATGTCCTACAATTTGTTAAACATTGAGAGGGTAAGCGGTGATGCATAGTGAGTTCAATAATAGATACAGTATAACGTTATGTCATATATATACTTTAATATGACAGAAGCAAAGAGAAACAAGGAACAACAAGGGCATATGTGAATCATGTGACAAACATTCCATATCAATCATTGATTTGATTTAAAGATATACAATCAATGAGACATAACAATTTCCATGCTTGATATACATCAATAAAGCTTTGGCCCAAACGGCACAGAAGACATACAACTTCGGATTAACATTTTGGTAGATTCCAGGCTTATAGCCCTGTCTAACCTTCTGCCAATACCATAGAATAGAAATCATTCTCTTACGGATACATGTTCTACATAGCCAGAGGCTACATACCAGTACCAACGTGAATCTAAGTCCTTTCACTGATCACATGGTCAAAGGTATTTCTTTGCTATTAAAAATTGCGAATAAAAATAACCCGGAAAAATGACCCAGAATAATAACACTGAAAAGCACATAACATATATAACACATAACATACAATTGTTCCTATATATTAATCTCACCGTGAAATAACCGGGGGCTAAAATATTAATTTGGGCAGTACTTCGGCTCTAAATATGACTTTCGTCGTTGAAAACCGGGAGTTTTCTTGAAAACCGGGCTCTACGAAGGTAGAGCTTCAAAACCGAAAAGATAAATTTTTCAGGCTTCTCGAGCACTTCGTGGCGTATTCTGGGGGTTATTATCGATACCGGGGCTTCGGGGAATGTTAAGATGAAGAAAATATGGAAAAAGGGGTAAAAGATGGCAATTTTCCAAAATTACCCGAGAAGGCTCGCAAGCCTTGTATTTATAGGGCGAAAGGCTCGCATCCGAGGGCTGAGAAGGCTGCACGCAGCAGCAAATGTGAGGTTCGGCCGAGAAGGGTGACTCAGCGAAGCAGCTCGGTGGCAGCGAGGGAGAGAGACACGCGAAGAGGGAAGGCGAGTCAGCAGTGAAGGGCACGCGGCAGCAACGTAGCGAAGAAGGTGGCGCGCATACAAGGGGCCGGGTGCGAGGCTCCGAAGTGCGACACGAGGCGGGGCGCGTCGAACGCGCATTGGGCCAAAGATTTGAGCGAATCGGAGGCAACACGCGTCGGATCCGGGTAGAGCGGCTACTGTACATGCGAGGTGATGTGTTTGGCACTATTCATGCGAATTTTCTCGGAAATTGAACCTAAATCTTCCGAAATTCATAACTTTCGCATACGTGCTCCGTTTTTTACGTTCTTTATATGCACGCGTAGCTAAAATTATGATCTACAACTTTCTTTTAGACTTCATTTGCTAATTTTGAATTTAATTTTAATATTATTATTTTTAACAGACCGGTACAGGAAAATCCGTTAAAAATTCATAACTTCTTCATCCGACGTCTGTTTTTGTCAGACTTTTTACCATTGTACTATAAATAACGAGACCTTCAATTCTCGTTTAGGTTGTGTCGGCTAAAAATCACTCGATCTAAAATTTGAGTTTTTAGTTGTCTACTGCTAAGCTGAAACTTTGAAAAATCATAACTTCCTCATACGAAGTCAGATTTTGGCGTTCTTTTTATCGAACTTCTCGGTTTAATGAATACTACGACTTTCATTTCGATTACTAAGGATAAAAAGTAGTTTATCAAAAACTCACTTTTTACGTCATTCGGCGCCGTGCCGGTTTTGTTGCGGATCTTCGATTGGTCATAACTTCTTCGTTATAACTCGGATTTCGATGAGGTTCTCGCCTACGTGTTTCTAACGAGATTATCTACAATTTTTAATAATAAAATTTCACTTATTTCAAATTTTATATGTTCGCTATATTTCACTATTTGGCTTTTAATTGGAATCTCATAAGACTTCCACTATATTATGAGTGATTCTAAACATAGTTTTACTTCATTTCTAGTAAAAACTATCTGTTAGAACTCAACATTCAAATTCACATAATATTTCATAATATTATTTACTTACAACACGATTTCAAAACGTGTATGTTATAATATGCAATATACAATGTTTGTTGTATTGAGATAGTTCAATATCTTAGGAGTTCGAAAATGCCTCATAGTGTGATTTTATACTTATATTAGGCTATAATCGAAACCACGGTTCATGAAATAAAATAATGTGTTGACTATGTATTCTATTCTATAAAAAATAACTATATGATTGGGTTACCACAAACAATTATCCTAGACACGTATAAAAGAATATGCAATGTACCATGTTTGTTGTATTGGGATAGTTCAATATCTTAGCACTTCCAAAATGCCTCATAGTGTGACTTTATATTTATACTAGGCTGTAATCGAAACCACGGTTCATGAAATAAAATAATGTGTTGACTAAAAATAAAAATCATTATTCATTAATTTACAAATCATTAATTTATTTACAAAGTGTTATATGTTGATTGTGCCATACACGAGTTTATAATTATATATATATATATATATATATATGTGTGTGTGTGTGTGTGTGTGTGTATGTGTGTTTGATTATCCTCAAGTGTCATAGACTCGCTCCCTTTGACTTCAATTCTCCTTTTCGAAAAGTGGCTTTTGGAGGTAAATATGTTCTTTAAAATGCAAATTTGTAAGATTACGATATAAATATGGAGCTCCAATGTTCTATTATTATAAGACGTTTTGGTTTATGTAGGAAATTGGGCTTCAAAGTTTTGTTTTATTTCACATTGTTTAATTTATTTGGTCTAATTATAGAAAAGTCTTCTCGTTACTTGATCACAATCAGTAGAAATATAATATTAGCTTTAAAATAAAACTAAAAAAAATAAAAACCATTGTCAAAATTGATAAGACTTTTCAATATACAATGAGGAATGATGTAATAAAATTTAAATGAAGCTAAAACGGTATAATAAGAGTAAACAAAAATATATTCCAATAATAAAAAGAAAACAAATAAAAAGATGATTGGTAATTCTTGTATTTATCCCTTTTCTTTTC